CATTTCAGCGAGCCCACCCCCAAATATGATTTTTCTTTTTTTTAATCGTCAGCCTGCTTTAATTTTTTGCGTGCAAGGTCGTCGACCCCGCCGGACTCATCTGTTACGGTTTCAGAATTGTCTTCATACTTAATCATTTGCGGCTAGAATTCCCTTTTAATCATATATTATAGCGTTTCACAACGCCGCTTTCTGGTTGGTTTGTAGTGTATTGGTTTATAAATGCCTTTTTTAAACGCGATCATAGAAGTCTAGAAAGTTTAGATCCATGACCTCCTCTGCATGCACTTTTTGCACTTTCTGGCTTTCCTGACCTGAAGGAAGTAATCTTTTTAGTCAAAATGTTTTGTATACATGGGAACTTACTTATCTAGTTTATAAGGTATCGAAAGAAGTTGTTGAAAGATTTTTTGAAGCTTTTATTTGTGTCACCAGAAAGATTGTTGCTCGTTCTTTTCATTAGTTTTTATTGCTTCTTAGATTCTAATAGCCCTTGATAATGTTCGCGTGAAAATGAATATGGAATAGTCGGCTGCAGTTCTAGTTTGTACGAGAAAATTCAAAGGAGTAGTTACGAATGGATGCGTGTAGAACTGTCCCAAGTTTTCTATTCTTTAGCAAGCTCTCTAACTGATCCAGACGGATTGCATCAAGCACGATCCGTCGCTGGATTAATTAATCAGTGGAAGAGCTACTTCACTGTAAAGGCCATAATTTTGCTAGAAACACACTCAACAGCGAAAAAAACTCGTTAGTTTTCAAGTTTGAAGCTGCAATGATACTTCCTTTAAGAAAAGAAATTTTCAACAGATCCTACAAGCACGTGGAAACCACGTGAAGAGCTTGATGCTCTGGTTCCCATTTAGTGGCGGTATTTGTGCAAAGTTGCTTCAGTCAACACCGATGTGTAGGAAGAATTCCACTCTTCAGTGATTAACTTTATAGGAAGCTTCTCAAATCACGAAAAAGTAAATACCAAGTACTTTTTGAAGAAAGCTGTAACCTTTAAGCTAGCTAGTTTTTACGGTTTTTTTTGCTGAGGAGTTGGATATTCACCTGCTACCACCTCATGGCGTTTATATATCCACTAAAATCAGGCACTACACTAGCTTTAGTTTATCGACGTTGTACCCCTTCATTCCTCGCAGTATCGTATTTTGGCAGAAATAGTATATTGAACCGCAAATTCAAAAACGGATTTACCTTCGTGAACAAAGAAGAAAGAGTTGTGTAATTTTAAATTTCCTGGTGTGTAGGAAATTTCTTTTACATCCAGTATTCGACTCGAATAAAAGCCAATTAGGGCGAAGGCAATCGGTAGTGTTGAAGGTACCTAAAACACGGAATTGAAAATCATTTTTGATTAGGAGTTTCGGAATGTAAGCACTGGTATGGTAGCAGAGTTATACTCGTTTTCATTTGCAAATTAGTTCCGCAGTTTACTACATCGGGAAGCGTCTGGTTTGGGTGAATTCCAGAAGTTTTGCCAATGTGTATATTTGTTCTAACAATTATCTCACTGTAAAATCTAGTTCACTGGAAATTTTTTCGCTTTTCGTGGCAGGAGAACATTACTTAAGATGCTGGAAAACCCCCTGAAAGCAAGGTTTCTCTGTTCCGGAAAACTGCCCCGGGACCTCGCCAGCTCACGACTCTTTAAACTACAACTAACTCATCGCTGAATTTTGGGTCGTTGTATAGCTGGGATTAAACTCATCTATTCTCCTTCCATTAAAAATCATACCAATACAGCTCAAATTAAATTTGCTATCACCAATGAAGACCATCCGCTGCCAGTCAGTACCTGTCCATTTAAAAATGATACTTGGCAAACTGCAACTAGTTTTTAGTTCCTGGTTGAAGCAGATATGTTTTTTCCTCGCATTCGGCTTAAGCGACAAACTCATGCGGGAGTATGCGGACGGTCGTAACATTGATGCCACTGGCATCTCAGCCTTCTACCTCCCACTGCACATTCGCAGGAGTCAGTCGATTGTTGATTTCTGACAGCCGTTTGATACGCCAGTCCGTTCTGGCAGCCGTTTTCCTCCTACTCTGCAGTTTCTTTGACTTCTTCTAGTTGGACTCGTCAAACGCAGGTCCGTACGTATACAGGTACATTTATATTGGACGAAATGCTGCGCAACAGCCAAAAAAATTGGACCTTCATTTTTTTTAACACCGCCATCAACGATGCTCGAATGAGCTGAAATTTAAGTTCTATCTTCTTGGGATCAAAAAAACTAACGTTTCAAAATTTTAAAATTTTTTTAGCGAACAGGTGGGAGGATCTATGAATTTTTACTTTTGATTATCTTCAGTTCTAACATTTCGCCGGTTTTTATGAAGTTTTTCAAGTGGTAGATGTTTTGGATTATCAAAGTAGTTAAAATTAAGTGGTTTCTACGTGATAATCATCTTTCTTGTTCATGTTAATCAACTTATTTTTAAATTTGCAGCAAGCTGTGGTTCTCTTGTC